CTCGTTGCTGGGGAGGGGGCTGGCGGGCGATGGAGCGGGTGACCGCTGGCCCTACCTGTTAGTGCACATCAGCGTGTCGCGTGCGTGCGTCATAACAGCGCAGAGCCGGCGAGGGCCGCGTGCAAACTCGCTCGGCCGGCCGACGGAGCCGCCAGTGTCCGGCGAGCCCCTGGCCGGGGTCGCGGTCACACCGACTGGGGCCACCCCCACGCTCGCTCGCGGCTGTGGCGCCGGCTCCTTCCCCGGGTATCGCTGCCCTTGATCATCATCACCATCATCATCATCAGCCCATGTGTGAAATTAATTATTCGTTACACTCACTGTGTATTGAATAGATTCCATTCCATTATTACCGTTCCTAACCATCTTTTAAGTAATGAATTTTGAATGGTCATTAATTTAGTAGTTGCATGTTTATGAGAACATTTGTCGCCATGTGGAAACGCTCCGAAAAATGCACTGCATTAATCATATTTCAACTGATAAGCAAATGTTAACCTTTTGTTGTGCTGCAACGTAGATTTTAAGTCAAGGTGTCTCTTTGCTCAAATGGATATGTGGGGGTGGGGGGTGTAGTAGTAAAATTCCACATTTCCATGGCAAGACCAGTCTTCCCCATAGACAACCATTGTGGACTCCTTATAAGGTGGTATCCATTTGATTTAGCTTGGAGGGATGCAGGGATGAGTTAATTGCTGCTTGTGATTTGAAACCACAAACTTCTGATTGTGAGATGAGCACTGAAAGAGGACTACTCAGTCTCGTGACTCGGTTTTCAATGTTTTTAAAACCGACTGTCCTTGTTTCCACTCGGATCTGTCCTTTTCTCAGTCTAATATGATTAGAGCGGAGGAACGCCGTGGCTTGGTGACGTGTCATAATCCAAGGTTTCTGATGTGACAGCTCCACCAGACGGGGATGTAATCAGTCAGTCTGTCAGTCAACGTCTCTTCAAATTGTGAGAACCCAATGAGACGGCGTCTCTCTTTGTCAAGAAACACGGTTGGTGGGCGGGGGGGGGGGGGGGTGGTGGATTGCAGACTATGCAGGATATTGGTGAGGATATAATATTTAACGGTAAAAACACAAGCCGTGGCGCCATGGCTGTTATGCATAATAAAGGTTTTTGGGTTAGATCGCGTTTATTTATAAATGTGTCGTAACCCTCCACCACCCGACACGGCCAATCAGCAAAGAAAAGTGTCACGTTGACAAAAGACAAATAATTCACTACTTCAGCCCACCGGTGTGTTGAAGAGTTAATCCACATTTACAGTTTGAGTACGACGTTTCAACACACCGGTGGGCTGAAGTAGTGAATTATTTGTCTTTTGTCAACGTGACACTTTTCTTTGCTGATTGGCCGTGTCGGGTGGTGGAGGGTTACGACACACTTAGAAATAAACGCGATCTAACCCAAAAACCTTTATTATGAATAATATTGGTCGCGAAAGCCTACGTGTTAAACTGATGGCTGTTATGCTAAAGCCATGTGGCGGCTCACTGTAGTGGAGCATGCAGCAGAGGTGCTCCTCGTTTTGTGATTTTTTTCCGGTCATCCTCGCAGCCGCAGCGGCTTTTGTGGCTGACCATCGAACAAAGAGGACGGTCCCCGCATTGCGCGGCACTTTCAGGCGCTCTTCTGCTGCCGTCTGGAACGCTGTTTTGATATCTATGCTTGTGTAATGGCGGCTTGACACACTTCTCTTGAGATGGCACTTCAGTGAAGACACGTTCGCTTGACATCAGGCGGAGACCCCCACGGTAACAGCCCCGACTCTCCTGCGCATCTCCCCCTTATATACGACCGAGGCCACGCCCCCCTTCTCAATCATTCTCGCTGACTCTGGACGCTCGCTCCACCGGCAGACTCCACCGTCCTCTTCCGTCGCCTGACCACGCTCCCTTCTCGATGTTTCCCGTAGCCACCAGTCCCTTCGCGCTCACAACTGATACCCCCGTCATTAACTCCCGTGGCTACTAGTCCACTCACACTGCATGCACGCTCTATTGCCATCACACTTGCTTGCCTTGTGACTGCTTCCAGTTTTGGCGCGTGTATTATTTATAATTGTTGTGCCATGAACGTAGAAACACCTTCAAATAGAGCTCATTCTTATGAGCAACACGACTGTGATGCAGCTTACTGTATAAACACACCACTCACATTCACGTATGACACACACAATTTACTGACACGGTCTTGAGACAAAAATCAATGATAACTTAGTTTGTAAGCCACGACTGGGAAAAAAAACAACTCGGCGAAGGAAGGGATGGAAGAGTGTGGGTGAAGTCATGTGCCCAGTCGTGGCAAGTTATTGGCTTACAACAAGAACGACGATGGCATATACACGGTGACTGCTCACGTGATTGGGGGCCTGCGAGATGTCATACATGTCGGACGCCACCGTCACGCATATACACACACACAAGACAAAGATCCCCCAAATAGCCTGAACAGACTTTTGGGGTACGTGCTGTTAGCGGAGTAGCACCTATGAAAGCCGGCACGCCACATGGAGTGGATGACCAACACTGTGCCCGTCCCCCTTTGTTTCCCGAGTAGCGGTATTTACGCACCGTACAAGGTAATAATTTTAGGCTTAGTCGACCTAGGGGAGGCTCGGGACCGGTTCAAATATTCATCACTGTTATCGGTCGTGAGCAGGAATCGAACTCGGGTGGCCGTTTTTTGTAGCGCAGCGCGCTAACCACTGCGCCACCACTCCAAAAGACAGACACACAGAGTAGCACACCGACATCTGGCACTGTGGCGCGTGGCTTCGCACCCAAAAAACAAATTTAAACTCCCGTTTAAAATGCAACGCCATCACATTTGTCGAAATTGCTTAAATATTTGTAATTGGTTTAATTCCACCTCAATTGTAAATTGCTGAAATACAATTTAACATTTGTCAAGTTATTTTAGCTGGTCGAGTATTTGCGCCAAGCACTTTTGCACCCTGGGCTAGCTCCTGTGTCTCTGCGTTTGTGTTTACACGCATGTTCTATTGCTGTAAGAAAGGGGATTGTAAACCCATCGAGACGTGAAGCAGCATTGCCTTTCCTTGCAAGGGCGACCTGGGTTAGATCAAGAGCAGTTTCAATACACAATATTATTTTAAATTTACCAATACAGGCAGTCCCCGAGATATGAACGTCCGCACTTACGAACGAACCGCAATGAGACATTATTTTAACCATCTGACTTGGGAACGTTCGGTCGTACTTATGAACCGAACCGCAGAACGATTTTGTTTGGTGGAGCGATCCTCCGTGAGGTGTAAATGAGTCCCAGCATCCCACATGATGCACAACGCAATGCAGCATCAGGATTCAAAGTAACATTGGTTGACATTGGATGGCGATCATGAGAGACGGACATCGGCTGCCTGATCATGGGGGTGGTGAGGAGGACGATAGGCATCGGCTGACTTCGGTGGTGGTGGTGAGCATATTTATAATGTTGGCAGTGGTGAGATGTATGTATGTAAGTTCTACATACATACATTTTGAAACCCACAGATTCACCTTTGTTATGCATTCATTTAATTTGCCGAGCCACGTTCGTCAATTAATCTTTTCCTTTTTAAGAGTGGTGCGTGCTTCTCAGCTGTTACACGAAAAGGTAAAATGAACGCAATTACGAGAGATGTGGTACAATATATTGGCTTCACAGGGGACACTGCTACAGATTCTGTAATACCACAGATATATCTCTGAAGGGTAAGATGGGGGGAGGTATAGATGGGTGACTTCTGGGTTAATGTTTGTGCCAGAGATCTGGGCCGAGACCACTGGGGTGCCCCCCTGGGTTTGAGCCTGCGTATCCGCTGAGGTTAAACGAGGCTGTCAAATGGAACACATTGATGGTCTCGAGCAGGTCTCCAATAATGGCACGCAAAGACATCGTGTGCATTATGCTTTTCATGTAATTTAATTTAAATCGACTCCATGCGGAGGAGCAGTGGGGCAGTGGTTAGTGCACCGCTCTCTGAACCCCATGACCCAAGATAAATTCCCGGCATCGGCTAACATCAGTGGCGAGTGATACCTGAAAGAGTCTTAGGCACCACCCCCCCTTCACCAAACTACACTGACCAGCATGGTGAAGTATGGTCAAACAACTCTCATGAGCAACACAGCTTGGAGAGGGCTTCATCCGGCAGTGGGTTACCAAATAAATTAAAATTGCTGTGCTGTATATCACTTGATGAACATGTGCTTTGCTATGATTATCATGGCATAGTTGAGCCCTGTGTAATGGTAGGGTAGAACATCGCTGTCTCTGACCTGTCATTTGTCAAGGCTGCTCCCTGATGCTTTGTGATGTTCTGTCAATTAACAGAGCTCCACAGAGATGTGTTTAGCATCACACAGTAATACAATTAAACAATTATAGATAAAAAAATAAATGTTTTAGATATGCGATGTTGCTTAAATACTCAGTACATTTTATAATGCAGCTAAACATCTAGTGGCTACGTTAGCCTTCTGCGTATGTTGTTCTGTAGTGAGCTGCAAATGGTATTGTGGGTATTTGTAATCGTGCACTCTTAAGAAACACCTCGAGCTTTGCTCGTTTAGGGATGTAACATTTAATCACAATTATAAACACTTGTCAAGTAATGCCTACAGTAATTACATTGGCGTATAATCACATGCTGCCCGTATTGTTTTTCCGCTTTAAGTGATACATAGCCGTGCACCTGATTTTGGAAAGGACTTATGTTGCAGGTCATCTGTCATGAAGTGTAATGATATTAAAGAAACAGTTCGCATGAGGGCATGCTAGGCTGGTCGTAATTAGTTTACCGGCCCTGAGTTGTCCCTGCTGGCAAAGAATCTTCTGTCCTCCTCACGTCAGATTGCTTTGCCTTCCCTCACTTTCCCTCTCTCGCCCCCCTTCTCCCGCACTGCCGCCGCTCCTCTCTCCGTCTCCTCTCATTTCCCACTCCCACAAACCCGTCGCTTCCCCCTCCCGCTTTTCTCGACAGGGGCTGCTGCGTCTAAGGACATCGCTGAAGCGCAGGAAAAGCAAGCTGGAGCGCAACGCGAGCTTCCGGCTGCCCATGCTGCGCGCGACGGACGGCGAAAGGTACGCCCACGCGTCGTAACGCACGCGCCCGCCGTGGCGGCGGGCGCTTCACGCGGCCGCGGGTCGTCAAGCCGGCCTGCTGACGGCACCCACCCTCTTGCTGCCGAGTGGCCGGCCCTTTTAACCCGTTTTCGATGACGTACGTGCGTGTCATGAAAAGGAAACCGGAAGAAAAACTAAAATAAACTAACTTAATCGGTACCAAGGCTCCCACAAGGCAATGCGGCAGGGCGTGTGTCACAGTTTGGCACCAGCTATCATAGAGTGCATTCGCGTCCTGACGGTTCTCTGCAGTGAGCACATTGTCTTTCGCGTTCCGAGATCCAGCGGTAAATGAGACGCTCAACTTGTAACTTGCCTTTCCCAGTGATGAGCCGCACCCACGTGTGGCACTGGAGAAACGGGCACCTTCCCCCCTGCCCCACCCCAATTATTTTTTCTTAGCCACAGTCTGTGCAAGTTGGGTTTCTTCATGAGGTCAATAGTTGGTCTAGGTTTCAACAATACGTGTAGATACACGGGCGGCCGGTGTTGATATTCTGGCCAGGAGGTGGCTGTCGGGGCTCTTGAGTAGTAACCGTGCCATCCGCATCAGCCACCGCCTGTTGCAGACCTGCGCGGTGCAATACCGCGTGCCATTGTTGCGTTTCCACAGGATGTTCAAAGCGAATGTGGGTTTCCATCGATCTGGAGCCCCCCCCCCCCCTTTCTTGCCATCTCATTTCAAACGAGCAGCACTTGCAGTGCCGTTTTGCCCGCAGCTCGACCTGCACGTTGCTGCTGTGCTTCGTTCAGGTGCACCGCGTTCGCTTTCCCAGTGCAGCCACGGTGACGTGCAGTAGCAACGTTCCATTCGCAAACAAAAAAAATCTCAATTGCATTTTTTGCACTCATCAAGTCCAGCGATCACAATGATTTGGTGCACACTGAGTTCAGTCAATTGTGCGATCGCCAAACAGCTGGTGTGACAGGTAAGATGTTGAAGCTGTGTCTGGAAAACAGAAGTTGGCTTCACACTGTGAGCTTAAATTGTATGCCGCATGTAAGCCTAATTACCCATTTGTTTACTCAAATGCAAAGATACTGTGATATAGACACCGCTTTTATTTTTCATGATCAAATATCCGTGCCTATTTCCTGCCATGACACGGACGTTGACAAAGAAAATGGGGGAAAAAACCCAGAAGCAGTGCACAGAGTTGCGTGGAGAAAAATGCTTTCTGGGAATTTCTCTGAGAGACAGAAAGAGGAATTTAGAAATAGGACGCAAGTCGTCATAGTCTTCTTGTTGACTGAAGAAAATAAAAATGGCGTTGGGCGGGGACATGTCGCTTACAAAGGATGAGGGCTGATGGACGAGACTGGTGATGGAAATGGCCGGAATGAGATGCATTGAATGTTTTGCATCAATCGTGAGACTATGAGGGATGGCGATTAGGTGGAGAGGCCTTCCACCAGCAGGGCAGCGATCGTGGCTGTTTTGACGACGAAGTGTCTTCATGCGGTCGTATCATTGCACGCTGTGCCGCAGGGGAGTGAAGAAGGACAGTCAAGTTGAAGGAGGAATGGGGGAATTACAAACAGAATTTAGAATTTATGGGCACAGTAGACGTTTGTTTTGTATGTTGAACTTCTTTCGCACCGTACGTAGCCAACCGTGCTGATCGGAGGTGTGGGGAGACGGTGAACAGCTGTACAAGCAGTAGGATGATTATTGCACACGAGCTGAGGTTGCATTGATCGTAAGCAAAAGCGTACGAGGAAAGTCTCTCATCTTATTCTCAACACGCAGAGGCAGGCTGAGCGAGGGAGTTCTGGACAGAAGACAAACCGCCCACAAAGCCACAAAACGTTGCGGAGATGCAGCATCTGCTTCTACCTGGTTGGGGCTGTTAGGTCGTTGGCCTCTCCTTATAAACGGTGGCATTGTTTCCTTGTCCATGGCCTAATTAACCAGAGCGTAGGGTGTGGAATTCACTCGGCCTGAAAGAGGAGGGTAATGTCGCAGAAGCGACATTGCAAAAGTTTTTTTCAGTATTCTGTGATTACGGTTTATTTGGCAGGGGGCTTTGATTGTGACGATGCTTTGTTTACGTGTATGTTTTGCAACGAATATATACTTCCATAGGCCCTGTTACTATAGATACCAATCTTCATGGATTCATTTCACACCGAAGCAACAAACGTTCTGTAATTTACACTGCTTCAAACAATTGCTGCTATAAACATGCACGGCTCTAACCGTTGTTTCCATCTCGCAGTGTTCACTCTGGAAATGAACTCGATTAGGTGGCTAAGTGGATTAGGATGTTCGTGCTAAGATCGTGCTGTTGTGTTCCTGGATTTCGACCCATACAGCCACCCAAGATTAAACAAATGTCTAAACTTAGACATTTTAATAGTCACAGCCCAGTCATCAGTGACTAATTCCTCCGTTTGGCAAGAAGAGAAGGTTACTATTCTGTACTGCTGTCCAGTGCAGTCCGATATTGTGGTAATATTTGGTCAGTAAGGCACTTCTTTGAACTCAGGGTTAATAAGATCATTTCCAAGTCACTTCTCATCGTGGCATTTGTTTGACATGACTGCTTCGGAAGCTTCGGAAGGAAAGTGCAAGCCTACAGCCCAGTTGGCATGTGATTGGTGAAAATCCAAAAGGAAAATAGATTAAAGATAGCAAGAAGTGTCGAATAATAATAATAAATGGATGCATTCATGTATATGCTCTACCTGAATGCACAAGTGTGCAGGGAAGGTTGAGTGACTGCATTTTGGTAATTACATGCCCCATGAAGAGATAGGTGTTGTCACTATCCTATGCATTCTGGGTGGATTGCTTTGCTCTCACCAAATGCCTTGCTGTTTAGCTGTGTACATCCTGACGTGTCTCCATATGTTGCTGAAGGCGGTTGAATTTCTGAATTGTTCACCTTGGCACATGAGACATGATCACGTGATATTATTTTTTGAAAACGATGCAGCTTGTATTTGAACTTCTTTGTGTTTTGCCTGATAATATTCTAGAACTAGAGCACTTGTGAGTCATCACAGCGAGCAATTGAGTGCTTTATTAATTTTCCAAGCAATTCATGACTTTGGTCAATATTGTGGTCATTTATGATATCAATGGAGCCGCTTTATGGGCGTTTTGAGTTGGCTTGTTTGAATGGTGTCGTAAGGACACTGTGTGTGGGATAGGGACGTGCGGTCAGGGGAGGCAGGAGAGGCAGAGCCTCACCTTGGAGGTGCACGATGCTGGCTGTCCCCTGGCTGTCAACTGGCTTTCCGCTTGCTGTCCTCTCGCTGTTCGCTGTACTCTATGGCCCTGACTTCATTGCCATAGTTTTGACCCCGAGTCAAGATTGTCATTACAAGCAAAGTCATAATGAAGACGACTTCGATTTGACCCATGGAGGTCATCTGCTGTGTTTAACTCCACTGGTCTTGTAAGACACGGTGAATTGTTGCTGGTACTTTTGATTCAGAGCTTTCGTGACTGCAGGGATTCATATTCTTGGTTCTTTCGGTAAAGTCACGTAGAAGGGAAACAATAAAATAATTGTTTTATATTTTTATTATTTTATTGTTTCCCTTCTACGTGACTTTACCGAAAGAACCAAGAATATGTTGCTGGTACGTATGAGTACAAATCATGAAATCAAAGTGTCTTCATGCTCAACTGAGCTACGTGTTAGTGCTATATTTATTCTAGTGATGCAAAATCCACATTCTCATGGCAGGAACCATTACCTCAGTTGAATGACCACTGTGATTTCTCACAGAGTAGCACCTACTCTGTTGACCCTATAAGGATAATGGGCCGAGTCGGTTGAACTCATAACATATTTACTGTGTCTATAGTGCTGTGATCACAGCGTCAACTGGCTCGATAGAGTAAAAACACAAACATTTTTCTCGCTATGCCCACTTAAAATAGTGCTTTACGTCTTGGAAAATTCTGCACGTGTTTTAGCCTTCGTATTGATTGCAATATAGCCATTGCCAAGTGTGATGACAGCCTTCTATTCGCACCACTAGACGTATAGCCGAGTGATTGGCCACACCACCTCTTGATTTACTGATGTGCGTTTGATTGAGTGGTGAGATGTTTAATCCGGCAGTGCTATGAAAAATTCCATAGGCCTTGCGCAGAGGCAAGCACCCGCGAACGTTCTTCTTATGCGAGCTTTGCTTTCCCGCTATGTGTAACACACACTTCCCCTGGTCAATTATGGGAACGCGCTGTGCAATACAAATACCGTGCCCTTTTAACTCAAATAATATCTCTATACTTTCTGGTAATTTATTAAATATTCAGACCTCATTAAGCATGCATTTCGTGTAACTATAATTTAAAATTTTCTGAAAATTACATAAGTCCAAACTTGTCATTCTCCAGTATAAACTGATATCACATCAGGCAGTACCATGAGCGTTGTTTATTTCAAGAATATTTTTTTCATATTTTTTTGCAGTTCAGCATTAAAACAATAAATGCTGTGCTAATGTCAATTGTTAAATGTATCTGAATATCACCAATGACATTTTGCAATGGTAAATATGTTGAATTTAGATTTTTACATTATTTATTACTTTACTTCCTCTGCAACTAATAACAAAAAAAGACAGATTTTCCTTCTTGGCCATTAATTGGTTGTGCCAGAAGCTCTGCTGGACTTGTGCGACGTTGACGACACCACACTAGTTGACCTATGGGAGGCCCACGCAAAGCTTAGATGGACGTTGCTTCGAGTGTGCAGGGCCAGGAAGCAAACCTGGACCATTGCGATTGTAAAAGTGCTTCCCTCTGTAACCGAGCGTTGAGGTGGTGCTCCGTTTCCACCCTGAGCTCGCGGTGGAAATTCAGCCAGAAGCAGCTGTATGGCCCAGCATCATGGCCAGCCCATTGTGACCCCGCCACCACACTGGGTACTTGGGGCGTGCAGACTAAGTGGCGGTCCTGGCCAGACGTACGCAGACAAAGACAAGGCTCCTCTTTA